TCGAGGATGTTGAGATGGAACATGGCGAGAAAGAACAAGCTAAGGAGAAAGGAGAAAAGAGGGAAATAGAAGAAGTTTACGAAACAAAAGATGTGAATGCTCACCAAGGTAAAAAGGTGAAGATCATAGGCTAGAAGAAGGGATCTAGTGTAGTACTAAGGAGTCCTATTCAGAAAAGACAGATTGCGAAAAAGGGTAATTTATGAGCCATCCTACATGTGAACTCTTCAGATTGGTTTGTTTAACGTTGTGTGTTTTGAATTATTTTATATGTGAACTCTTTGGATTGGTTTTATGGTTTGTTGTGTTTATGGATTTTTGTGTTTAAGGATTGATGTGTTTTTGGATTAGTATGTTTTTGGATTGGTGTGCTTTGAACTATTCTGGTTAAGTTTAATATTGTTTGTTAAGTTTCTGAGTTGCCTATTTTATATTATAAACTATGTACAACTGCATTCAAAAGATCAACTTGGTAAAACTAGATAGTACTTGTACCATTACAAAATACTAGTTTTACAACCATATATTACAACCCGAATACATAAAGTAAGTTCAAAGTAAGTTCAAAGTTACCAACAAAGTTGAGCCAATAGGGAAAGGGGAAAGTTACAATTAGATTACACGATAAGAAAAATTTATACTTAATTGTACCATTACGAAGAACAAGTTAGGGGGTGTTATTGGTTTGTGCGTTATATGGTGTTTTAATGACTTTAGATGTTAGGTAGAATCTGTTTTTATTCAATCAAAATTTTACTAACCTCTTTTAAAGTTTGGTGTTAAAGATTTTACTTAGTTGCACAACTATGAAGAACAAGTTACACTTGGTTGTACTATATTCCCAGCTATCACAAGAAGACAACCACATAAAACGAGTATCCACGTTTTCTTGATTTCCTTCATATCTCTCATCCTTTCCATCTTCATGAGACTAACTTTTTCCTCGAGAACACCGACTTGAAAATCCAATTGTCTTACCTCATCCACCAATGCTTCATCAACCCACTTTAAGACATGTCCATCGTTCACAAGCTACATAAAAGATCAAAAATCAGAAGGAAAAGTTGGTAACTAAATCACAAACACAATAGTAATCAAACAAATTTACATGCTTTACCCTTCTATCATATGCATATTCACAACGGTAGTAGCGACAACACGAATTTGGTATGGATCGAGTGATTATGTCAATTATTGGTGACCCACAATGACACTTTTTTGGAATTCCAGAGAATCATCGTCGGTTAAAAGAATTCCCACATAAGATTCCCGATGCTTCTGATTCGCAGCTCATTCTCAGAAATCGCAAACCCAAAGAAAATGATGAAATTGTAAACCTAGAAAGAAGGAGGAGAAGAGAAGAGAATAAAAGGGCAGTAAACCCGAAACCCTAGCTAGCTATCCACCTGATTCCCCCTTTCAATTTCAATTTGAAATTAAAAATTTTGAAAATTCTAAAGTATAGGAAAAAAGAAAAAAAAAGGACCAAACAACAAACACGTGATCCACGTTACGCACGTGTAGCTGCCAAAATGCACATGTAGCTGCCAAAATGCACATGTGTAGTTGCCAAAAGACACATGTGCAGCCGCCAAAATGCAGTAGTTGTACCAAGTTTACAAGTTGTACTAGTTTTAGCAAGTTGTACATTTTCAAAATTTTAGTTGTAATTTGTTATACTATGTTTAAAAGAAATATTTTTAGTTGTACACATGATTTTAATTAACTGAGGTTCGTATACCACATGTGCATGCCTAAATATTTTTGAAAACATTCATTTCTTAGCTTTTCTAATTATATGTTGTTTGCAATGATAAAGTGACATTTAATATAAGGTATTTCATGATAAACTTAGAATGTGGTGATATCTATAGTGAAGTATATATTATTCCTTATTATATATATATTGGATCACGTGATGAAATTTAATTCAATTCATGTTTATATTTATTTATTTTTCTCCAATTCATGTTTATAAAAGTTCAAATAAATCCTTATTTTTTTATAGTAAAAGTTATATATCAATATAAAAATCATTGAAAAACAAGTTGACTTAAGAAAGTTCGAAAATCAAATTCAAATTATTCAAGTTATACCATAATGAAAACAAGTTGTATCTGGTTGTTCAAATAGGATATTACATAAAACTATAATCAATCAACTTCGGGAACACTGACTCTCAAACCAGCTCGCAATGGAAGATTTCTTCTTCCTGCGTCCATGCTCTCCTGTTGATTTAATCTTATTTGTTGGTTTTCTTCCTCTCTTTCTGACATAAAATTTATGAAAGACAACCAAGTCACGCACATCGTCCAGAATGATCCACATAGACATGATAAGAACTGGATATATCGTCCTTAAATATCCCAATGCCCACTGCTCTATCCAATAATACTTACTACTTAGCTCATGCAATTGGATCTCATTACCAACGTTTTTTGCTGCTTTCATGGCAGCAACAATAGCGTGCATACACAAATATCTATCAATATCAAATTGTTTGCAGTAGCAAGTTTGTTTTTCCAGATCAACCACATAACTACTACCGTCACCTACAGCCACACTGTATTCCAGAAAATAGCTATTTAGTTCAGTCACCGGTAAGAGCTTTGCATCTGCACGTCTATCGTGCATCAACTTCTCAACAAAAGGGACTAACTTTTGCTCTATTAGTGTCTCTAAGGATACTTTCCTATATGTATTAAACCATTCAACTAGTTTAGCAACAATTATATCTATCATTGGTTGTAACGCGTTTTTCCCTTAAGAATCTAAAGACACCATTAATAGATTCTATATTAGTTGTATCAATGTTATATCTAGCTCTTGGAAAAAAACGTCGCGCCCATTTATTTTGTCCTACCTGTTTATCAAGATAAGTACTTGCGGCTGGAAACCTTTTAATGACATCAGCATATAGTTCCTCAAATTCAGACTCAGCGTAAGCCTTCGCAACTTGCATGAACATCGTCGCAACTAAATCTATGTTCACGTTTTTACAGCTAAGTTTAACATTCTGAGACCAGTGATAAATACAATACCCATGGTGAGACAATGGGTACACCGTACTTACTAATTTGATTAAGCTTTGATGTCTATCAGTAAATAGTACCAACTCAGAACAATCTGGATAACTGTTTTCAGTTTATTGAAAAACCAAGTCCAACTTGCATTGTTCTCACTATCAACTACACCAATTGCAATCGGATAATGGTGGTGATCCGGATCTTGAGCTGAAGCCACGATTAGTACTCCACCATATACTTAATACTAGTTGCATCCACAATGATCATCTTTCTATTGGCATTGAAGCCTTCAATGCACGCCCCCAAGACAAAGAATAAATACTTAAACCTCTGGGCTTCATCTAATTCAACATATGAAATTGTACATGCATTCATCTTCTCCAACATGTGCATATAAAACTAAACCAACTTACCAAGTGCTAATAGCTCAATTGGTAAAGATTTTAGGCAAAAGTTCAGAGGTCGCCGGTTCGAGTAGCGCTTGGCTCGGGCCTGAGGGGATATATGGGCTTTGGCCCAGAACCTCTTTGATTATTAAAAAAAAAAAAAAAACCAACTTATAACTTTCTTCTAGGGTACCGCAAAGGTCAGATCCAACTAGCTTTTTTCCTCTATTTGCGATTGTGTATGACACTTTGATAACAACTTTTGATTGAACCAAAGGGATGATATATTTTGGAGTTTTAGTGTCTATCAGACATGGAAAATCTTCACGCAAAACAGATGTAACAAAATGAGATGTGCCTCTCCTTTTTTTATTCATTGTACTTGTTACTGACAGTAAGCATGTATCTTACTATAAGTTCTGACCGAGAAACTGTAAACACAAAAAACATAGGATCCGACTTCAATATAACAAAGTCAAAACAACTGTTATGCGTAGCTTTTTTAACTAAATCTAAAATTCCTTGCTTGCTTTCAAATTCTTGTCGTATAGTCACATCCAAACCATCTTCCATTCACGGTTTACAACCGGTGTGATCACAACAACATGTGTCATCTCAGCAGCAGGTGTAATCTCAGCAACATGTGTGCCATCTTCTACTATTTCTCGTTTTTCGGACTGTTCTTCATAATGAATAATGTTCCCATCTCTCCCATCACTATTTTCTACCATCTCATGACATTCAAACGACTCACTTTCATCAAGAAACATGTTCCCGTCTTTCACTCTACTACTTGAAATATTCTCCTCATTGAGTGAACAACCTACACTTCCTCGACTCTTCTCATACCTTGATTTACGACTTTGACATGCAAAACTTTGAAATGATCTTCATTCATATCCATATAACACATAATATCATCATCATCATCAAATATGTATATTGGTCTTTTAGGCTCCACTGATTCTAGAACGTAACTCAATTTCAGCTCAGTCGTTGTTTCATCAACAACCGCCTTCCTGCATATCTTGTTCACCAGTGCAGAATAAGTGACTTCCTCTGTCTCCGTTCTAAGAGATTGATTGATTAACTTTATCTCTTGAATTTCATCTTGGCTCAATTTTCCTTGTTGCATAATATCCCCCATAATCATAAATTATGATTTGTTGATAATTTTTATTCATTGTGGCCTTAAATAGAATAGAAAAACTCACATTATAATCTCTGTCATGTTAATAGTTATACGAAGTTATACCAAAGAGTACGATTTATACTACTAATTTTACCATTATAGTTATACCAGTTGTACCCGAATAGTTATACCAAGTTCTACCAGTTGTACTACAACCACTACTAATTTACAGATTACATCCCTACGATTCAATTCGATTGAACCGTTACAATGCACACATTATGAACAATAGTCGAACCAATTAGGCTCATATCCCTAATTGACAATGAGGATAAGAAAATTCTGATTAAATCCAAATTTACAATATATCTAATTGCATTATTAATAGTCCAATAAAGATGAACAAATACAATCCACAACAACTCCACTTCATGCCAACGAGTTATGAATTTAACAATGGGTATAAATAAGTGTATTACCTCAGTTGTTGGGTTCTCGTGTTGATAAATAAGATGATGGTAAGTGTGTGTGAGGAGGAGCTCGTTGATGGAGAGATGGAGGATAGATCTAGATCGTGGTTGAAGGAGAGAGAAGATGAAGATTTTTGAGTGGGTCCGCGTTTTTTCTTTTTCCTTTTTACTTAAATTAAATCAATAATACGGGGCGAAATATGAGATTAAATTAGTCAATATATTGTGAAAGGGTACTAAGATTGAGGGTAATCTTAATCAAGAAACTTATCCTACTATTTTGGTTGTGATTCAAGTCGATTACGTAACAACAATAGAGGTGTGTGACTTGCACTCTTTTTCCCTCCTCTTGGTTTTGTCCCAATAGGTTTTCTAAGAGAGGGTTTTAATGAGGCAATCCCACACACTCTTTCCCAAGCTGATTGTTGTTTCTTTGCCAAGGAGCCACATTTTATGAAGGGGAAGAGTCATTTTTATCATTTAAACTCTAGTTTTAAATTTAAGGTCTTTTCGAATGTTTTTAATAATGTTTCGAAACTTGGTGTGTTTTTTTCGAAAATAGCTTATTTTCTTCTTTAGATATCCTTTGTAATCTCTTATGAGAACTCATCAAAAAACTTATTATCAAAATCTTTTTACAAATTGTTTGATCTGAAGGGTGTGTAATATCTCTTCATCTTGTGATCGTTTGGTGTGGCATATCCAAGCCTAAGCAAGTTCGTTAGGTCAGTGGTCTTTCCGAAATATTGTAAGTTACAATTGATCCACAAGGCATTCTCATTCCTTTACATTATCATCATTCTCCCACAGATCCTTTCTATCACCATATCATCTTCATTTGTCTTGTTATTTACGGATCTTTCATCTTTCGTTCACAATTCATACAAAGAGCTCAAGGGACTGGATCTTCTCAACGAGGATCATATTACTAGTTTTGGTTGTTCTTTATCAAAATTTTCTTTTTTGGAAGTGAGTGGAGAACCATGGCTTATCTAAGCGATTAGATCATTGTCTTATATTTTTTGTTAATGAACTATTAATCTTCCTTCTCCGTTGTATGTTTTTGTGGTGTTTGTGGCATTTTTTGGCTGTTGGTTGAGTCAAGATCATGATGGACGAGTTTGGGGAAAAAGAAATGTCGGATCCAATGTTTGTTACCCGAAAGACTGAATGTTTCTTATGCGAAAATCCAGATTATTGGACAAGTTCTTCTTTATCTTTTACACTCGAGCTTATAAATTTGCCAAAGTGTGAGATGTCCTTTTAGGCCATTGTTTTCTCTTTGGAACCTATACCGTGTATTTGTGCGATAATATCATTAAGCATTTCTATCCCGTAGCAACTAAGTTGATTACACAAGAATTTTCTTGCTCTCTTCGATATGAGCAGGATATGAATAACAACCTCTTACATGCCAATAATCACTTTTACTGCTTCATCTCAGGAGGTCTTTTAGTTGACTTTGGTCTAGTGAGTCATAAGAATGGAGTGAACACAGGTGCCCATATATTAATATGATGATATAATTTTCTCAAGAGAATTTGCTTGACTAAGAAGAATGAAGAGCTCTTTCTCATGTATACGTGTTGCAACTAGAAACCGATGGTGTATAAACATATGTCTCCTCAAATTGGGACGAGAAGACTAATACTACTCCTCAAGTATGTACTCATCATAGAAGAGATTGAATGTTCTAGGTATGATGATCCGTGTGTACTTCCCAAACTATGGCTTAGAAACTCCAAGAGTTGTGTATCCTACTACTGTTTAATGATATGGCAGATGCAGAGATAACTACGCCCTCTTAAGAGCCTTTGTATCGTCCCACCGCCCAAGAACGTCTAAGATTCGATGATAAGCAAATGGATGATTGCAAAAATTCAGTGTATACCTCTCTCGTTTTAATGAATTGAAGGGAACAATAAAGTCGTCACGTATTGACAAGTCGTTCTAATGGATCCTTTCCAACAAATCGAGTAGCTGGAATGGCTTATGTCAAGCCTTGTAGACAACAAATGCAAAAATTTCCTCTCTTAACTAAAAAAAAAAAACATTATCTCCAAAATGGTTGATGGAAGGAAAAACCTTCTTCTCTTACCCAGTGTATTGACATCTTTGCTTGAGTTACATGCATATACAGTCGATCAACATATTAAATTTTGGAGCAGTAAAATATGAAATACCAGAAAACCATTGTAAGATGCTTTAACAACAACAACATTATCCACACGTCCAGAAACCATAACTGTTTCATAGTGGAAGTTATAAATATTTAATAAAACCACCACAAAACTCCTTTAAGATGCATTAGATCAACTCATCATGCCAGATTTTACATTTAATATGATGTTTTTTTTTAATAAAACCCAAAAAAAAAAAAACAACTAGCATTTTTTCATAAAAAAAAAAACTATTATGCATAATATATCCCCAGTTTTCCGAGGTTCTCTAGATCCTGTAATCTAATCAAAATCATTAATTAAATTTACAACTAAAACTAAATAAACTATTTTTTATTTAATATAATTCGTTAAGCTGAACATAATATATACCTAATCGGCTGACCCGATCAGTCTTGGGAGGAACGCGCCAAAGTGCTAACATGTGGACTAGTTGTCAACACCTAGGTGTTGAATTACTACACTACCTAACCACAAATTGGGAATGCCTTCCGACTAATGTCTGGGGGTATTCATACCGCATGCATCTCTGACTATTAACTAAACCAATTGGTGCAAGGCCTAACTGATAGACCTCCGAATAAGATGTTTATAACAACAATAGAGGATAATCAAATTTGGGATGTGGAAGTTTCACCTTTTCACCCATGTTGGTCCTACCACTAGCCCACCACGTTGTGGGCGAAGCATAATAGAACAACAAATACTAAGTACAAAGACTATTACAAAAATGAGTGACATTTTGGGATTCACAATGGCACCAATCAAAACAGTTCAGATATGTATCAAAATACGTTTTATCGATCTAATAATTACAGTGATTAGCAGTTTGTTTATTAATCTCTCCCACGAAATTCCGATGTCCAAACATGTGAAACCTTCGAGATAACCAAGTTCCTCAGTATTGTCCATGGACATCAATTTAAAAATAACTGAAAGCTTTCTTCAAATATTTCATTTATATGAGTGACGAACATTTTTATTTTCTTATTAAAAATTATAGACAATTCACTATTAAACATCCAAAATCCACTGCACATTATTATAACTTGTAATAGTTTTTGTAACCTCTCAAGGCTGAAGCTTTCTTATCCTTTAAGCTTTCAAGCTTTACTTTGGAACTATTTTTTAAGAAGAATGCAAGACTGAGATTGTGATAACAAGAAGATGATGATGAATGCAGGGATAGAGTGAATGATGAAGAACTAGAAACAAAGAAAGGGAGACAAACATAGTTTAACGAGTTCAGATGCTCCAACCGGTGTAGCCTACGTCTCGTCGGGAACAGTGTCTCGGAATCCACTAATCACTTGAGAGTTTACAGCTTTTCCCTCACCTATACTTGGCAAATACAAAGCTCCACTTCTCTCACTGTGTTTCCCCACTCTATTTCCTCTCACAACCCTTACTCTCTTGCATTACCTTACAATGGACACAAGACCTCTGTTTTATACAAAAACAAGGACCACTTATGACAATGACATTTACCAAACCTTTGACTCCAGTTTTGTCTTTTTATCTTTGTTCCTTTAGGCATCAATGCTCTTAGGAGGCTGCAAATTGCAGGTTTGCATACTTTGTCTCCTCATAGCATATCCTTCTGTCGTACGGCTCTGATTTAAACACAGAGAGGGCACATGGGATGTACTCATTGGTATTGCTTTGAACCCTCTTACTCGTCTAGCTTCTTCTCTTTCTTATCTTCAAATTAAACCTTCTGCTTCTTAAAGAGTCTCCACTTGTTTCACTCTTAACCGATCGAAACCTATAATTGAAGAAAGAGGAGATTAGATTCAAACTAAATCCCCACATAACTAAAATGCGACTGATGCTTAAGATAATATATATGACTTATGAGGATTGTATTATTTGCTATGTACCCAAGAAAGTACTATAACTTAAGTGAAACAAGGGTATAAGACTATTGTATTTGTTTCACTTAACCCCATTTTTTGAATACCCTCGATTCAAAAAACTCTTGCACTAATACTACCAAATCCTCTTTTAGGAAATGATAGGATATACATGTCATAATATATGGTTTGTGATTTTTCTATGTACATAGCAAACAACACCATCCTTTAAGGGACTATAAAGTAACATGAAAGTTGATCATCAAAAGAGTAACTAGAAGAATGAATTTTAACCCATATTTGATTTCTCGAAGACTAAGCAATACCTTATATTGTTACACAAGCTTCAGTTAAATTTTGGTTTTAATTATATATAGTTGGTTGAAGCTTGAAGTTTAATGGTTCATTACCTAAGTTTAATTAACTTAGTTTTATATATAATAAGGTTAATATAAAATTATGATTTGAGCATTAAATTTAACTTAAATATCTAAGCAAAACTTTCAATTAAGTTTTAGATTAAGAAACCTATTTCCGATATTAATTGGAACTTTTTATAAGCATGTCAATTACGTTCAACTTAGTATGTTAAATATCAGATAAATAGCAATTATCTAGTTGTAATTGTAAACTACCAAGATCGTCTTGGTTGTTTGGGGGAAAAGAAACTCAAACTGAAAAAAGCTCTGAAACCTAGAAAGGCCCAATAAGTCCACCAAGCCCATTACACCCAAATTCTAAACCTAGATTAAGAAAGATGTATAAATAAGGATCTTAGGGTTTTCTTCCTTTTAATTTTGTGCCTCCTAACCCTAGAGAAGAAAAGAGAGATCTCATGGAAGAGCAAAAGGAGAAGAAACCACCAATGAAATCAAGGAAAAATCTTAGGAAATGGTATAAACATGGAGAGGCAACCGGACACCATTGTGGATGAAAGTTGGTGGGTATGTTTCCAACTCATTAATTTAGTTTCCTATAGAAGGGTTTTGCAATGATTTCATTATTTTTAAGGTGTTATTCCTGTTTTCTTAAACCTTTTCTAGGGAGTGCAAGTTTGAATCTAGGATGACTAGTTGTATTGCTTGGTTCCCAAAACAAGGTCCGTTTGGGATGAGCCTTTTCATAGGTGTTGTCGACTCTTAGAGATTGTTGCTGGAGAAAGAGGAATTCATTCAAAATTGGGAAACTCAGTAGGAAAGCCAGTGAATGGTAAGTATCGAATATGTCAGGAAAGAGAGTTATGTCTTCTTCATATTAAGCCAAGGTGAGGGTTGTGACATGTTGATCTATAATCATTTAGGGTTATTGTGCTTTTACTGTATAGATCTAGTCTAGTATGATATGTTGATTGATTGAGATTATGTGTTAGTATGATAGGCATGAAACTATGGTTCTGATAAACATAGGAATTTGTTTTACCAAAATGAGGATAAAAATGGAACTATCTATTCAATTAGATGAATAGTTGAAAAAATTTCATAGTAAATGTGTATATTCAACAATATTAATAAATACTCCCTCTAATTCACAAAGAGTATCATTATAGTGTTGTATTTTTGTTTCACAAAGAGTGTCATTCAACATTTCCAATGCATATTTTACACTAAATTTCCTAATTTTACCCTTAATCAAAAACTAATTAAACTCATACATTACTTATTAAATAGGGGCATATGTGTATATTTTAATGCTTTCTTAACTTGTGTGAAATGTGTCAAATGACACTCTTTATGAAATATAGGGAGTATTTAATAACGTACTATATGTTTAATATATATATATATATATATATATATATATATATGTTTAATATAATTATTCGTAATTTTAAATTAATTTTATAAAATATATATATTATATATATATATATATATATATATTACAAAATTAATTTAAAATTACGAATAATTATATTACTTTAAAATAGGTATATAACAACGATATTAATTTATAGTTTATGTTAAAACATTATTATTTTTTGTTTGCTCTGAAATTTTTTATTAATAAATAATAAAGTCATAACATTGATGTAAAGTAAAATTAAGACAAAACTATTTTCTTATTGAAAGACATACTCCCTCTGTTTCACAAAGAACGTCACCTTGACACATTTCACACAAATTAAGAAAATATTAAATTATACTTTTATACCCTTATTTAATTTGTGCATAATGGTTTAATTAGCTATGGGTTGAGGATGAAACTTGGAAAGTTAGTGTAAATGTTGCATCGAAAATGTAGAGTGACGCTCTTTGTGAAACAAAAATAAAATTTTGAAATGACACTCTTTGTGAAGCAGAGAGAGTATCAAAAGTATTAAAAACATTTTTTGAGAGAAGACGGTGGTGGAAAATAGTTGGGATGGGTATATCGTCGACATTTTTTGTCGGTCCAGTAAAGATAGCGAGCACCTATGTTTAGGCTCCTTAACGGCTGACAACTCTGAGAAAGAGGTAAGGAGCTTATTGCAAATGAACCATATGTTGTTGGGTGGAATCGTGCTTGTGATTTCTTGTGATTCTTTATTTGTGTTGTGCCTGCTTGTTTTTATGTGAGTCAATGGTTTTTGTGTGCAAGAAGGATCGCCATCATGAGTAACTTATGGCTTACGCCGAAAAAATTGTGGAAGGTGAGGACTAGGGACAAAGTGGAAAGGCGAGTTCAAGAAGGGTGTTGTAGGCATGATTTTCAACATGGTTTTAGGATATCTGTCTGTTGTGTTCTGACTCAAATTGACTGGTCATAGAGGAAAGCTCATCTTGTAAGTTCTTCCCTCTCTCTCCCTTTCTCTTTACATCTCTCTCAAGAATCCTACATTGAATTTTTTATATAAGATTATGGTTTTCCAGTCACAATATATATATGTACATTATTTAGGGACTGTAAGACTTATATGCGATATATGTCAGACGATAGATTAGGTTTTTTTAAAATAATTTTTTTTTGTAGTCATATTTGAGGAGTTTACTTGATTGATTTTGTTTTTCCATTTTGTTAAACTATGTTGAATCTAAGAATCGGTTTTCAAAATTAAGTTTCTCAAAAATTTTGGATCTCATAAAAATTATGGCTTTATTATCTACGTACGATTTTTTTATGGGGGTTTCCTTTTATGTAGTTGTTAATTTCTTTGGATTTTTATTATCATATTTGAGGATTTTTTTGGATCGATGTGTTTCTCTTTAGTTATTTCAGATAAATCTAAAATGGGTATCAAAATTTAGGTTCAAAGATTTGGATAAGTATACAGATCTTTGAAACCTCATAAAGTATAAGGATTTTATGAGATATGTACTAATCTTTTTTTAATAAACCCAATGCATGGTGTTTTAGTTATTGTTCTTTTTTCCTTCTGTATTTTGGAAAAGTAATATAACATATTAAATGTCGAATCTAACATAATTTATTTATCTGATGTATCTTAAGTAATGTTCATGGCTATCGATTAAGTATTTGTAACTTTCAAAATGAAATAGTTAGGGTTTCGAAGATGTGGGCATAATGTTTTCTAGAATTTATTAAAGCATCTTGGAGTATATAACTTTCAATTTTTTTACCTTCCTTGAAACCTTTTACAAATATTAATTTATTTTCTTTCAGCCCCATGGCTTTGTTATGTTATTCTAATGTGTTTTTTTTTCAATTCTTTCATCGATATGTATATAGGTATTAATCTTATTGCTAGGAATCCCATATATATATATTTCAATTTAAGATATTATTTCATTTCATGGCTGAGCGGAATTCATGTAGGCCAAAAGAGATGTCTGAAACATTTTCCATTTTAATGACCTTTTATCAAGCCTTTTGAAAATAATTATGAATTTTCTTGTTTGAAGAGATAAAATTTGTGCGTCCACTGTCTGCACGACATGGCGTAAAGCTGCTAAATCTCTTCAAGTTGGGAGAAACCATCCTTGGGTTATCACATTCTCGAAACGTGACAAAATTAAGAGGTACCAACTCAATCTGCCATAGTTAGTTGGAACTTCTGCTTTTATGAAAATAATAAAATGTGACTAGTAAATATTAGGTTTTAAGAAAACTTCAACAAAATAACCTTTTTACTTCCCGTTTGTGTGCTCATGGATTACAAAACATGAGTTTATACGATTTTCTTACGTTGAAAAGACTTTAGATTTCGTGATCACCAAGACTCGTATGGGAGGGATTTAGCTGCAATAGAGACATGACGATGTTGAGACATGGAAGAGGGTAAAAAAGCTAAAAACATAGACATTTTTTATTTGTTATATTAAACGTTTATTTATTTATTTTGACTTTCAGTAAAAAAATCAGGATTGGTGAGCGAGTGAATGAAGAGATATTTTCAAAGAGGCCATTAAAAGGAGTTATAAACAAGCATGAAAGGGTATACAAAATCAATAGGACATGACTTTGATGTTAATATTCTAATTTACTGATTTGTTATTTGATCTTGAGTCTTATGACTTACTTTGTTTGTTTTTCTTTAAGAAAAACTTTATTAGGATTTCTCAACGAACTACATCAAAGCTATAGTGAATTTTCAGAAACTGAGAGGAGAGAACATTGAGAGCCAGAGGAGAGAAGCTCAAGAAAATCTGCAACAGCAGAGGTTTTAGGTAAAGATATTGAAACAACACAAAATTATATTTTTTTGCAGATAATGATTCAAAGAATAGAACAAAAAAAAGAAGATACTACACTATTTTAGTTTCAGTTGTGACTTCTCATTTGATTTTATGGTTTTAATCTAATTATTCTCAAGCTATGTCAGAGAATCACAACTAATATGCTCAACAGGATGTATAGGAACAAAGAAACAAAAACATTGAGAAGGAAAGAAGAGATGCTCTCTTAAGACTCAATATGGTTTTGTTTAGTAGAATTATCAATAGTTTCTTAATATTTTTTTCTTTCATAGATCAATCTTTTGTCATATATTTGATCTATTAAAGAAAGTAAAAATAAGAAAATATTAATAACTCATCTAAACAACACGTTATCAAATGTCAATAGAGCATTTCTCTCATTTTCAATGTTTATTTTCCTTTGTTCTTGCATATCCTGTTGAGCATATACGTTGTGATCTTTGACAAGTGATGAGAATAAATAGACTAAAACGGAAATCAAATGAGAAATCGTAGTTGAAACTAACATAATTTATTATGTTCTCCTTGTTTCTCTAATATGTTTCATCATCTGCAGAAAAATATCATTAGGTATTATTTCAATTTCCTTACCTAAACCTCTATTGTTGCTAATTATCTAGATCTTCGCTTCTTAGTCTCTTGGTGCTCTCTACTATCAGTTTCTGAACATTCTCTCTAGTGTTGATGTAGTTCATTCAAAAACCTTACCATATTTGTTTTATAGAAAAAAGCAACGAGCTTAGTAATCTACTATACCTTTGCATGCTTTTATAATGTCAACTCTTTCGCACTGTCTCTTTGATATATTTCTCCAAATCTCTTTCTTTATTTTCTCAATCTCAGGTTTAGGGGATGCTTTTGAACTCTGTACTTTAAAAAAATTGGAAGGATTTTGAAATCGATTGTTATTCAATTACGTTTTTTTATAAAGTGCACTAAAACCACCTGTTATTAAATTATGCATTTGTTGATGTATTATAAATTACCTTAAAAACATTTTTATTCAATGTCCAAATGATTTGGTGTCATTTTAGATTTCATTTTATTTCACTCTAAAATATGAACAAACAAAATTCAACATATTTTCTCATCTATTTCAATCTCTTTAATCCTCCTTCTCTCTCTCTCTCTCT